CCTAAAACAAAAGGATTTCCAGGGGTTTTCAGATAAAACAATAGGATTTCCCCAAAAAGTGTACGAGCTTTTCTTGGAGTGATTTGCTCCTCGACCGTAGATGTAGGAAGCATTTCAAAAGTGGGGAGAAGGGCAGCTTCAGGAAAACCGCCGTCTGTTTTTATCTGGGCCTATTTCAGGAATAGGCTTAATGCTGCAACACCAACAGCACCTATCTTAATCTGACCCAGAGTAGAGCTCTACCTCCAAGCATGGGGTCAGGAAAACAGGCTACCAGGGAGAGCATAAAATGACAGAAATGAGTAGTGAGATCATATAAGTAGAAAATTCAAAGCTAGATGCAGACAGAAAAGTAAAAGTATTACATTTATCTAAAAAAAGTTGTTCACAAATCACAACGACTCACCGGAACGAAAAGCTTTTCTTTTTAACCCTTGTTGTTATGAGTGTGTTTGTAAAAAAAGCCAGACAGAAGGGTAATTAAGCAATTTTACCTGTCTTATAGTCATTCCAGTTCCTGTGAAAGTCAAAGTCGTTATTAACTCTTCTTTGAATAATAGTCCAGCCACCTCCTTTGGTTGTCATATCACAGAAGGTGCTAATCAACGGAAGAGTAGGCAAAAGTAGCTGGATCGTTCCACTTTCCTTGGTCCCTGAAGAATATGCATTTTTGCAGCTTCTGTAAGCTGTTAAAGAAATGGAAACAACTTGTAAGTAACCACATTGCCTTAAAATTGTTTAATGATAACGTAACTTGATATACGTTTATAATATCAAAGACAATACGCGCAGAAAGCAAACTTGCTTTCATACTGAATTGAAACCGCAAAGTCTCGAGATCGGCAATATACATTCTAGTATTAATTTAACGTTGCAGGAAATCTCGAGAAAGTTGGCGTCGCTTGGATCGGTTGTGTTGAAGCAAAAATCTCTTTAGTAAAGTCTGTTTCAATAAGTCGAATTTTTATTACCTTGATGAAGTATCAAAAACATTACCTTCCTAATTTTGATTAAAAGGGACTGGATGGTTACTGCAATAACTAAGAGCGCTGCGAAAAAAGAACCCAAAGAGCAACCTATAAGCCGTTAGGATTAACATTTATGTCGATGCAGTTTGACATAAGCACATGGGCTCCGACACAGGTTTGAAAGGGGGGCAAGGAAAAATTAAACAGCTATAACAAAAGATCTTGAAAATAGCTCTATTGCTTTGCAAAAAAGTGGAGGGGGGCCTAAGCCACCGCCCCCCCCCCCTTCGTCGGAAGCCCTGAAGCATGAGTCAAATGTCGACTAATTCCATAACATAATTTTGGTCCCAACAATGCCGGATGAAGCCCAAATAGGGAATGATGCTGTGGCACAAAAAAGGCCTTTTCAGTTTCAGATCAATTCTCGTCTGTTTTTATCTGGGTATTTTTCAGGAATGGGCTTAATGCTGCAGCACCAATTGCACCCACGCTAATCTGGTCCTTAGTCCCACCCGATCTGACCTGTGCGAAAAATGTATCTATCCAATTGAAAATAGAAAACGTAATTGAAGGGAACTTATGTGAGCTGCAGCATGTACAATTTTGGCGTCAGCGATTGACGCACTCAAAGAACAGGTGGCTATTTTGCATACGTATCCGCAGAGCAGTGGCATAAACACGTAAACAAACACGTATTTGTGAATCACATGTCTCGAAACAACAAAAGTTTGGAAAACTTTTGATGGAAAAAAGTAAAACAAAAGGTGCTAATGACTGCTTGTCTCTCACCCGAGAGGCGCTTAGGGTTATTGTCTCCTAATCAAGTACTTCTAAAAAACACTTCTACAACACCAGAAACTATCAATCAGATTTTAGAAACTTTTTCAAACAGGAGAAAGCCTTAGAAATTTTAACAAAGCACCTTACGAGCTACAGCAATTTTGGACTATTCTGTGAAGAACATCAGAACTAAGAAAACGATAACGAGAACGAGGGTTTTTAATGGAATATGCCTTCTCAAACATGAAACGACAATGTTATATTCGGTGGAGCACCTACATATAACATTTATATGATTGATAACTTAGAGAGGCAGTCAGACTCTGGGGTTGTCAACTTTATGAACTTGAATATTTCGACGTTTTCGCAATGTTTGGCAAGGATAGTAGATTTCTAACTTTGAAAGCAAGAAGAGACGAGTTATAGGGGCTTCGTTTATATGATTGTGTACCAGCTAAATTCTGTAACAAATTATACGAGCTTTAGTGTTTTAATCCGTCTACTGTAGTTCACTTGAAGTAGTGTATTACGGTCTGAAAAAGTATTAGGCGACTTACAAGGAAAGGGGATCTTCTTCCACACGGCAAAGTAATCGGTTACTGCAATGATCGACTCTCTCTTCTCAACTTTCGATTTCTCCTGTTGCTTAACCAGAAAATTACATTTGAAATCAATACTACATTCGGGCCAGGTTTCTGTCACTTCTGCAGGGTACAAAGAAATGGAGCTGTTATCGACTCGGAGAAAGGATGACATTTTTTCTTGCCCCGCGGCATCGAGATAGGAATGCCAGCTGAAGATGATGCCAGAAATTAGGTATCGCACAATGACAAAACCAGTTCTTTTCATTGCGCTTTTATTGCTAAATGCGTCCAACGAATTCAAGTTCTCTTCTGATCTATAGAAAAAGTATTATCAGACAGATCAAGAAATTCAATCGTGTTGTTTGCAAAGAATTCCATTGCTACGCTCAAACAGTAAGATATCTTCTATTTCTAGCATTCAAGAAAAGTCCGTAACTTTACTAACATCTTTAAACATGATGACAAAAATATCACATTTCTACGAAGTGGGATGCTACATATCTTTCCTTCAGAGGTATCTTTCTTTGAAGAGGATTATTGCTCCTTGGAAAGTGCCAGTGAACTAGATTTCTGTGGAATAGTTTTGTCTTCCTACATCAAGCACTAAATTTGATACACATATCAAGCATAGGTAAAGTTTTTCTTTCAGGACGAATATAATCTTGTCGATTTATGGGCGAACAAGATTCAAAAACAAGATTGAAGTGCAAAAGATTCAAAAGGGTAGGTACGTACGCATATAAATGAAGACTCGTGTTCTAAAGCTCTTGGCCAAACATCCGTCCAGTACTAGAGGCACTGCGAAAAAGCTTAATTGAACAGGTGACCTTTCAAAATTATCCTTTGATTATGGCCTTGCTATGCCAAGATATTCAGTTGATTGGAAAGTAATCGGCATTCTTTTCGTCATCTGCTTTCTGGTCACGTGAAGTAAACATCAAATC